TATACATAATATTTACAAGTTTACGTAATAATATTATGCAAGCACTAGTGAATTCAAGAATAAAGAGGAAAGCAAGATTTCATGTCTAAGGGGTGAAAATAAAATGTTTAATATTTATTTGGATGAAATTATAAAATTAAAAAAAATAAGAAAAAGTTATAAGATTCCTCCGTCCGGCCCCTTTGTCTCTGGCTAAGATGATGGCGGGTGGGATGCGGCCACCATCCCTTCAATTTTTATTTTTTTTATTATTATAGGTATAAAAATTGATATATACATATAGAGAGAGAGAGTAAACTTACTCTTATAATTAATCTTTAATTCATGTAAAATTCTGAATTCAATCTTACATACCAGAATTGATGTTGGTAAAATTTTTAATTGACCAAAATAGATATATTAGTTCAATTATATTCTTAGATTGTCATGTTAAATATTTTATTATAAATATTAATAAGATTTATCCCATGTGTAAATTAAATTATTGAATATATAACTTGCATTAATAAAACATGTATACTATAATTTTATTAATGACATTGAATAATTTATAAATTAATATTATAAAATTACAATGGTTCATATTTCAAATATTACATTTAAAAATATTGTATTTAAATATAATAAATAATTGTTTAAAATAAAAAATTACAAGTATGAAGGTCGTGGTTAAACAAAAGTGGTCAGTATTTTATTCATAAAGTGCAATTATATTATTTCTCTTGGATTCACAGAGGAATGAAGAGGCTCATAATAATATTTTAAGGATAAAATATATTGACATTCTCAATTTTTATTCATAATTGCATGTAAAATCTATTAATTTATAAAATAAATATTTTACCTTAAATATGTAAATAATGTTAATATCTAAACACGAAAAGTTTAAAATATGTTTTTTATTTTTTTTATTCTTTTTTTTTCATTCAGTTTAAAATATGTTTAAAATACGTTTGATTTTCATTAATATCTAAATTGAGGGATTTAGTGTATTTTACTTATATTTAAAATCGCTTGTTATTGAAAAGCCAGCATTAGAACGAAGGTTATGAACAGAAAAAACAATATTAGATAACAAGAGAGTCCAGTTGCGTGGTTTCGCGGTATGTTTTGCCGGCCCTCGTAGGAAGATGGAGTTACAAGTAGACTCTGACCTCGCTCATTAGATGCATAAGCCCACCCTGCAAATAATGTATGCAAAGAAAAAGGACACGGCAGACCAATGCCAAAACGTGAGGAATTGATGGTGATTGAGACTCTACAGTGCCATAGTGCTACAGTGTATAATCTCTGAGGACTGTAGTCGAGGGTGAGTGGGGGAGGGCTCATTTAATGAGGGGAGGTGTCAGTAAAGGAGACAGCCAAGGGAAAGGTCAGCTCATTCAAGGAAGGCATTTATTTAATAGGATGAGACGAATTAAAAGCCTTATTTTATTTATTAGATTTTGATCTCAGGTTCAGTTCAATATTTCGGTGCTAACGTGCTTCTGAGTTTTGACGCTTTGACCAGTGTTTGTTGGATCGGCTACCCAGAAAATCAAACCTTTGATTAGGAATCATCAAAGTCAGTCTCATTTCCTTCTGATTACGGCATTCTTTCTTATTTTACTTAGTCAATCACCCTGCAATGGACTTTTGGATTCCGAATTTAGACTTTTAATGTCATGAGTATATATTAGTCTTGGATTTTGTATAAAACCACACATATGCCACTATTATATGCTTATTGGGTTTACCACAATTATCCGACCCCTTCTTTATTATATTCTGATCTGAATTTTGTTATATATCATGGACCCATTTAGTTTTGTGTGATAAAACTTCATTATTTACACATAGTTATGTAAATCTTCAACCTTAAGATTATCATTTGTGATTGCTTTACTTTGTAATGATGTTATAGTTATGTATAAATCGGAAAGCCTAAGTTTTGGGGTAGCTTGGTGATCTCAAGTTGGGAAGCAAGGAAACATATATATATATATATATATATATATATATATATATATAT